TCAAATATAATAGATCTCTGATGCAGCCCCCCCGCTCTGCAGCTCCATCCACCATGCTCCTGTTGAGAGGCACCACAGGGAGACATTTATCCTCTGTGATTTTGTGTTTTGATTCTCACCGGCAGAGGTCTGCTTGAACTTTTCACTCTTCTTCTTCCTCCATTTCCAGGGCTTGAACAGACGTCCCAGCGTGGCCAATTTGCTCCGCCGGCGGATGGGGGGCGTGTGTGTGCCGGGGACCAGCGAATCAGAGCGCATCGCTGCCAACCTTTCCACCTCTTCAGCTGGAAAACACAACAGGGACATTAAGGTCATCGACAAGCAGGTAAACAACCCTAACACAAATATGTTTTGGACTAGAGTGGAGGTCACTTCTCTTTCATCCATGGCACAGTTACAGCAGACTTTATAAATATATACTGTACCAGAGTATCACATTTTTTTCATATCATTTACAAAAAACTTATCGCTTCAATGATTAACTAATGGAACAAAAATCAACACCAAGCGATTCAGCGTCTAATCGATAATATAAATAATCTAACCAATAAACCAATATGCTCTCTCCTGCTGTATTTCATCTAATGACAATTCGACCTGCAGCTGCTTTCATCTTTAAACTACAAAAATCCATACAAAAACTACAATTTCTTAAAATGTATACAACTTAAATAAAAAATGTGAATGGCATGATATCCAAAACATGTTTTTTGAGGAATAGCTGGAATATGAAATGATAAAAAAATGTCATTACAAAGATACTCTAAGAAAACCACCTCACCGGGTCAAAAAAGACCCACTTATGCATCTAAGGGTTGTTTTATTTTCAAATGCAGCAACTGCCAAGAGACCCAGGATAAATAAAGTATTGCGATTCTGTAATCCACAGTTAATTCAAATGTCAAGGGACACATCTCCCAGGGGCCGGTGCACGTAAAGCTTATTTGGATTTCTCTTCATCACAGTCAGAGATCAGGAGAACACTACTGCAGAGAAGCTTCATTAAACAGAATGAAGAAAAAACCTCCGGACAGCCCTGACAGAGAGGAACTAAAAATAGATAGTAAAACGGTATACAACAGTGGGTGAACAACATGTGTCACAATAAATATCCACGACACATTTCTACTGCTTGAAATAAAAGAAAATTCCCCTTGTTGCAATTCTCTCCCTCCTCCATTTGACTATGAAATTGTGTCTGAACTGTGGTTCTTGGCCCTACAGGGAGTTTTTTGAAAGTAATCACAGTAGTGGGCTGTTTTTCATTTGAAATGACACCTTGCCCATTACACGCAACATCCTGCTGTACGAGACGGACTGTAAGCAACGAGGGCAGGAGGCCTGAGCCAGAGGCCATGAATAATAAAACAGGAAGCAAGCCTTTTAGCTGGCAGTTGTAGATGTAAACACACACAAGCATCAACAGACACACGTACACATACACAGACAGATACATTGCAGAATCAGGTTCAATCAGCTTTGCAAGCAGTGTCTTGACTCATATGCACACTGAAGTTAGAGAACATACAGTATTAAAGTCAAAATACTTAAGTCCTTATTACAGTGGTTATTTAGGTAAGCAGAAAATAACAAAGCACAATCCTCAAATCTGAACTGCATCAAAATGCACATGTTGATTTTGGATCAAAAAACAGCTGCAACTGGGCTTTTGGATGAAACATGTAGAAAACTGGAATGAAAAAAAACAAGAAATACAAAAAAACACTATTTTGCTTTGCACTTAAATAGTACAATTTTTCCTTTTTAAATCCATAATAAAATAATAAATGGTAACACTACTGAGTTATGCACCAAAGTATTCCTGTACCAGCTAATTAGTTTCAATAAAATCCATCAAATCTTTTTTTGCAACACCATTTGAACTAACAGAACAATAATTAGACACCAATCAGACAAATTGACTTGGGTTGTGGCTGGGTTTTGAATCAATAGTCATTTGGATCAGACCAAAATGTATTTGCAGCTCAGAGTATCAACAACTGTCGAGTACTGAGAGCTGGCAGCACTGCATGATTGGTTAGACTGGACGGTCAAAACAAATCAAAGTGAAGCAGTGAGCAGCTGCAGACAGGAGGAGATGTCCGCCTTGAGGTGGCCTTGTTACAAGTGGGATGTCAGTTCTAATCTGTAGCCACCATTGAGAGGCCCTCCCACAACAACATCATCAACCCCACACCCTCCCCTCCTCAGCTGTCCCTGTGGCAGATCTGTGTAGCACCCGTGAGTGACACACAAACCTTTCCAGGACACATAAATAAAGAGATGTTTTTGTTAAAGCAATAAATACCTACAATATTAAAAAAATAATCTCTTCAGGTCAAGTGGTTTTAAAACAGTCAATATGTGTTTCAAGCCTCCGGGGAGAGGAGATTTTCATTGCTGAGGTGTTTTGGGGGTCATGCTTTTAATCCTTCTGACTCACATTCGTCACTTAAAGGGGTCCTGTTGTGCTTTTTGGGGTTTTCCCTTTACTGTGGTGTGTTATATAGGTTTTTGTGTGCATGTAAATGGTCTGCAAAGGCTTAAATCCCAGAGTTCCCTCCAGAAGGAGTTTCTCTCCCACAACACCTCCTGCCTGAAACGCCTCCTGCATTACTTCTGTAACATAATGACATCAGTATATAACACTTCTATGGTTGGTGCTCCAACACATTGTACACATAGTGCCGGACATTTAACGACACATCTCCAAGCGGTTGACCAATCACAACAGAGCAGGCCAGCTAACCAATCAGAGCAGACTGTTCTCTGGTTTCAGACAGAAGGTGAAAAGAGGTGCTGCACTACAGGCAGTATGAGAAAAATAAAGACCTTTTTGAACATTAAAGCATGTAAGCATGTCAGAGGCACAACATAGAAATATGAACCTCAACATTAGCATTAATGGTCCTCTTCAAAGCAGACTACAGGTTTCTCTAGGTCTTTCTCAATTTCTAGTTTTAGCATCCTTTCTTCCCCTCCTCTACTACTCGAGATCCACTTTTGGAGTTGAATTTCCTTCAAAAAGGCGTTGGTCACAAGCCAGATGATCGTGGAGTAAGCAATGAGGACTGAGCAAGCACAACATTGAGAAATGAGAAAGACCTCCTGTCTGTGTTGCTAGCTAGCCTCCCCCCAGCTGCGGACGACAGCAGCAGTGAGTCAGGGGGCTCATACTCACTCCGCAGGGAGACATTCTTTCAGTCAGACCCCGGGCCTGTTTTTCTTACCGCTGCCTCATAACAAGACTGACTCAAGAACAAGTTCAGAGCAGAAAAACAAGAGACATGCTGCAGGGGGTCATGTTTTTCATTATTTAGATTTGTTTACGATCTTATTATTGGGAATGAGCTGTTATAAATCAATACTGGGTTTTGAGGCGACTAGGTAATAAATAATAAACATGTCTGTATTGATCTGTGGTGGAAAATGGTTAGCAGGATTTTCAAATCAAATCTACTTGTCAATTTATAAAAAATAATGTTGAGTACGAAACAACTAGTTCCAACATAATTTCTTAAAAAGGAAATGTTGAGACAATTTTTATAACTGCATATTCACATAATGACATTTTGCATATTTTCACTCTTTAATTGATATTAACTGGAAAATCTTTGGGCTTTACATTTGTTTTTTAGACAAAACAAGCCATTTGAGGATGTCACCTTTGGCTGTGGGAACTGGGAGTTTCCACAGTATCCTTACAATTTATAGAAGAAAGAATAAAGAAAAATAACCCTTAGTTGCAGCCCTATCTAAGCTCCTGTTGAATGAGACAAAGTGATTGGGTATAGTTTAGTATGGAAGACGAGCTTATAATAAACATATCCTAGATTTTCAATCAACAGTTCATTCTAATCAATCTCATTCACGACGGTATTGATCTGTTGACCGGCATAATACTGGAAACACATTTTCAAATTAAATCATTCTAGTTGATTGACTCGACCATTTTTACAACCTGCTGGTGAGGGTAGCCATGGATACTGCAAGCATGACGACACTAGTGTTGCAAAAACGAGTCTATAAATTGATTAGTCCATTGAGAGAAAAAGGAATTGACGGCATTGTTGATAATCTAATAATAGTTTGTGCCATTTTGAAAGCAAACCATCCATCCTTTGTTCCAGTTGTTTCATTTTGAAGATTTATAAACAGACTATCTTTGGGATGCTGTTGGTTTGACAAAGCACATTTTGAAGAGGTCACCACGAGCAACTGGGGCCATTTTTTGACAAAAACATAATAAGTTAATTTTTAAAAAGAGAGTGGTTCATGGACAAGAACAAATAATCAATATTTTCAGCACAGACAACTTGGTCATTAAGTAATTAAGTAATTTAAATTGGCAAGTTTACGTCTTTTTGGGGTAGAGGGGGAATGTAACTAATATTACTGAAATATTTTGAATTGAATATGTTTTCTTACAATCGTTGTCTGCACCAAGCACTACAGTTTGATCTTCCACATGACATATATTAAGACTGTGGACATGTTGTTTGTTTTTTAATTAATAAGAAATTGTATGACAACCATTTTCTCCCCTACTTGTTGTTAAAGTAATAATATTGCAGTATTGTCTTACAAAAGTGGACCAAATAACACTCACAAAATAAATCGTGCTTAAAATTAACATTAAATCAGAAATTAAATTGATTCAACATGCTTTAGTAATCACAAAAAGCTCATTAGAGGTCACTATTTAGAAAATACAGTAATTTACAAGCAACGTTCAGGGCTAACGTTAATCTGAGTGCTGATCCCGGCACTGGATCTCCCCAGGCAGGCAGGAAGCAGGCAGGGAGCGGCCACCGGCATATGACAATAATCATTTTTAAATAGTACAGTAAAAACCCCCTCCTCCCAACATTCCCCTTTCACCCAGCCAGCTGAACCGGGTCTTCTCACCGCGCCGCTGCTCGGCTCCCCGGCAGTTGCTGCAGATGTGTTTGATCTCTTTCCCGATCTGGCAGTGGATCGTGAACGGCATGTTGTTGTTGTTGTGCACGGCGGGCTGATGCTGGAGCTGTTTGCCGGAGATGTTGCGGGACTTCATCCTGGTCAGGGAGAAAGCTTTGCTCCTCTTCTTTAGTTTCTGCTCCTCGGACGCCGCTGAACATGTTTGTTCGCTGGCAGCAGATCCAGACCATGAAAACATCACGTCGCCTCCACGGCCCGCCATATTCCAGCTGTACTGCGGGGCAGGACCCTCTCGCCCTCTGCTAGCTTGGGTGGAGAGGGATTTCAACTGGTTGGCAGCTCTGTCTACTACTAACAAGCCAGCCATTATGAAAACGACTTCCGGTTTGAGCAAACAAAATAAAAGCACTTTATCGAGCTATATTTTTAAGAACTTTAAATAAACTGTAAACAGGCCCCACAGTCTAGCAGAAATGTATTGTTGAATTGTATTCATTCCCAATTTCTTCTCCACAGCACTGATTTGTACTGTCTTCTTATTCATTGTGCCTTCGCCTACATTGAAATTGCAATCACAAATCAGCCGTTCATAAAATGGGGTAGATTAAAACATTCTTGTCGACCAAGTTGAACATTTGTTTTGAGAAAAAGACCTTCAGTAGCTATTTTGCAAGCATGACATACTCTCTGTTATGTAAATAGAGATAAACACATCTGTAGGGTTGAAATGTAGGCTATGATCCGCTTCATACGGTATGACTAGAACAGCAGACTACCATCTGCAATACCAATGTGCAAAAAGATAAATAAAAACAAAACTTTGAGAAGTTGAAAGACTTGCTGGAATGAGTGCCAAACAAATGGACGTAGCAGTGCAAACCATCAACTATTTGACACTTGTCCTGTGATTCTTATTCTGCAAATTCAATTGAAAATCTGCATGTCCATTGATTCTGGATTCCTTAATGTAGTTTAACACTACATTTAGCAATTATTTTAGGTCAGTGCTGCCGTTATGAGTCTCTGCTCATACTCACACTTTCAATTGCTCTGTAGGCCTATTATAGTTTAAAAAGAATAGTGTAATGTACAATGATAAAATAATGTTTTCTACATTTAAATCACTTTTAATTATTAAAACATGCAGCACTCAAAGTAATTTACAATGAAATATAGGTTAGCCAATGAGAGTAATCTCATGTTGACACACCATCTATTCATAGCTAACCCTTTATTTTGAAGGCCTACTTGTTTTCCGGTTTTAATCTGTCTCTTTGGCTGAACTTTGTCTCCTTTACAGATTCAGCCAATGATGGATCGCTATTGCTCTTCAACCTCGCAGTGGTAGCCAATGAGGTGGAAGCACCGGGGGATGAGGAATATAGAGAGATTTTGAATAAACCGTCGTTCAATGATTAATCTGAGAGAAAAAAAGAAACAAAATACAGTAATGCTTGAAGTTTCAAATGCTGTATCATAGTATATTTTTAAATATGTAAATAATATATAAATATCATTTTTGTTTTGTATATTTTTTCAATATATTTGTTCTTTTTTTTCCTTTTTAGAATATTTCAACAACAAAAAAAAATATATATATATATATTTACCAAAAGAACACAGTTGGCACCATTATAGTTTTCATACACCAGCTCAACATCCTCAATGTATTATACACTCTTTTTTTAAATCTAAATGTTTCCAAGGTAAATACAAAAATCATAATATTGAAAGAATAGCACAAATATCTATAAGGGATTGATTAAAATCAGCTAAGGACACTTTCCTTTAAATTGTACTCTTACTCATGTGGGGTCAATTATATAACGAGATCACAAGCACACAGGAAGTCTTAAAAGGAATCAATAGGATCTTAAAATGAAGTCTGAGCTTTATTGGAAATCAATGAGGATCAGCTGAGACAGAAGCAATGATCTCACACTTCCGAGCAGTAAGCAGTCTGACATGTGTTTTGAGTTTACTATTCTGTGCTCCCTGAAAAAGAGGACGTACACTCTTTTACTACAGAAAGGCAAGGGTCAAAAATAGTGGATTCTTTTGTTTTGCAGTATCTTAATATATATTATTGGACAATTGTAATATCCTTCATCTATATTGAATCATGTTTGTACGTCTGCTAAATCAAAAATGCAAAAAAAAAATTAAAAGATGTCAGAGGACATGGAAACCAGCTTCTAGATTCTTGAGGGATAAAAGCAAGTCAAATTTGGAAAGTCATAAAAAGAACAACTGACTGAACAAGCCAATATGCTAGTGAAACATCGTTGGTTCTTTTCTGCGGAGGCCAACAAAGGGTCAGAAGTTGCAGTTAGATGTTTCTGACAGCAGGTGGAGCTCACTCACAAAAAATACGAAGGGAATTAATTAGTCAGTGTCTCCAAACAGGGACAGACTGAGCCAAAGGGTGCAGACTGGTGAGGAGGAGTATGTGTCTCATCAGGACCGACTGTTATCTCCTCCATTTTACAACACTGAGCTGGGGTGCACAAACACACAAAGCCTCCTGTGAGGAGTGAGTATAAGGCCTTCAGATTACAGTAACAACCAGCAGTGGAGGAA